TGGGTAAGTATGCCCTAACGGACCATGTCCTCTCCGACGTCGTCAACGCCAATCGACCGGCGTGGGTGCAGATGAACTGCACCGTGCTCACTTGGATCTACTGCACCATCCACGCCGACCTCCAACAGTCGACGATGAACCACAAGCCGAACGCGCGCGGCGCGTGGATCTACCTCGAGAACGAGTTCCTCGGCCAACGCGAATCGCGCTCCCTACTACTCTCGGCGGAGTTCCACACGGCAAAATAGGGGTCGGTCTCCATCACCGACTTCTGCCGCCATCTTGAAACGATGGTGGCAACCCTCAGCGACTTCGGTGATCCGATCGGGGATCGAACTTTGGTCCTGACTCTTCTTCGCGGGCTCAATGGCAAGTTTCGCCAATGGTTTCCAACCTCAAGATGCGGCAGCCCTTCCCCACCTTTGAGGAGGCTCACACGGTCCTCCTGTTCGAGGAGATCGACATTGACGATGTTGCTGCAAGCGAAGCCGCCGGGGCATCGGACCCGACACCATCCCCTGCGACAACCGCACTCGTCACTACCCCTGCGCCCTCTTCTGGGCGCCTCCTACAGTGGGGCCAGGCCAGTCATGCCATCCACGCACGCCACCAGGCGGCCAGGCCGAGCTGGCGGCGGCCAGTATGGCACGCTTAGCTGGGTGGCTCACAAAGACATCGGTCGTCGCCATGTGGTGGCGCGCGCAACAACAAGCAGCAGTCTCTCCAACACTAGGGCGCCTATCGCTCCCCGACACCGTTCTACAACCCATGGATGGGCACCGTGCAGCTCTAGCCGTGTTCGCCAGGCGGTCCGAGGACGCCGTTTCGACACCCGCCGGCTGCTTTCACTGCTGTTCCTCAGCCACAACAGCAGTACATGCAGCAGTCGTACGTTCAACAGCCGTACACCCTCGAACCTCCTCTAGGGTTCGGGGACGGAGGACCATCACCGCCACAGTAGCAGCAGCAGTGGACGCCCATGCAGGGCGCATCCTAGGACCCATCCGCCCTCGTCAGCAACTTCAACACCATGACGCTGAAGCCCCCTTCATCGACCGAGTGGTACGTTGACTCCGGCGCCGGTGCCCATATGGTCAACAACGCTGGTATTATTTCTATCTTTCACCATCCTTCGTCATCTAGTCCTTCATCTATCATTGTTGGTAACGGAGCTTCACTTCCCGTTACATCTATTGGGTCACACTCATTCTCCACCACACGACGTCCTCTTGTTCTTTTCTGATGTTTTAGTGTCACCAAACATTATTAAGAATTTGATTTCCGTACGTTGTTTCACCACTGATAATAATTGTTCCATTGAGTTTGACCCGTTTGGCCTCTCTGTGAAGGACCTTTAGACATAGAGCGTGATCGCCAGGTGTAATAGCACGGGTGACCTCTACCCGTTCTTCCCAGCACCATCCAGCACTCCCACTGCCCTCACTGCCACCGCGTCATCCAACACCCTCTAGCATCGTCGCCTTGGTCATCTCGGACATGAGGCTCTTTCCAAACTTATTAGTTCCAATGCTATTTCATGTAATAAGCGCCATATTGATCATGTTTGTCATGCCTGTCAGCTAGGTCGCCATGTGCGCCTACCTTTTAGTGTGTCACACTCTCACACTGCACATCCGTTAGATTTAATACATTGTGATCTTTGGACTTCTCCAGTTGTTAGTGTGTTGAGCTATAAATATTATTTAGTCATTCTTGATGACTGCGCTCATTACACCTGGACGTTCCCATTACGCCTCAAGTCCGATACTTTCAGTGTCCTTTCTAACTTTTTCTCATATGTGTGCACGTAGTTCGACTCCACCATCAAGGCAGTTTAGTGCAACAATGGCCGCGAGTTTGACCACTCCTCGCCCCGCACGTTCTTCCTCACTCATGGAGTCATCTTTCGGATGTCGTGCCCATACACCTCTCAGCAGAACGGACGTGCCGAGCGCACCATTCGCACCATGAACAACATCGTGCGATACCTTCTGTTTTCAGGCCAGCCTTCCTCCGGTTTATTGGGCTGACTCACTCCACACTGCCACCTACCTTCTCAATCGTTACCCCACCAAAACCCTAACCGGCCGCACCCCTTTCTTCGCTCTTTACGGCACATAGCCTTCCTACACTCACCTTTGAGTTTTCGGCTATGCCTGCTATCCCAACCTCTCGTCCACAGCTCCACATAAATTATCACCTCGCTCCTCCTTGTGTGTTTTCCTCGGGTACTCATCCGATCACAAAGGATATCGATGTCTCGATCTTCATTCCAATCGGATCATTGTCTCCCGTCACGTTGTATTCGACGAGACTTTGTTTCCGTTCTCTGAGATGTCCACCACCCCCAGGATCCAAACACACTTGCATTTTTGGATGATGCTGATGATTCCTCTTCGCCTATGTGGCCAAGAGCTGTGCCTGCAGGTAATCGTCTCCCTAGCGGCATGGATGCCGCACCTAGGACCCTTGGTGCCCCTACCACCGGTGCTGCTGCCCCTGCGGGTCCGACTGGTGCTGCTGCCCCTGCGGACTCAACGCCCCAGATGTCCGGTGCTACCGCAACCCCCTCAGCTGGCGCCCCTACCAATGGTTCGGCTGGTGCTGCTGCCCCTGCGGACTCGGCGTCCCAGGTTGTTGCCAGCGGCGCCACCGGCCACACCACCACGACGACCACGGAGGTGATTGTTCCTGTCACTAATGCGTATAGCATGCGCACCCGTGGCAAGGACGGTTTTCGGCAACCCATGGATCGCCTAAATCTCCACATGATGGCTTCGTCTACCACTCCAGTACCTTCGTCCGTCCGTGCCGCTCTTTTGGATCCGGCCTGACGTCTTGCTATGCAGGCCGAGTTTGATGCCTTGCAGGCAAACGACACCTGGACCTTGGTGCCTCGCCCTCCTGGCGTCAACCTTGTCACCGGCAAGTGGGTCTTTCATCACAAGTTCAAGTCAGATGGCTCTCTTGACCACTACAAAGCCCGGTGGGTGCTTCGCGGTTTCACACAGCGTCTGGGCATTGATTATGATGAGACATTCAGTCCAGTTGTCAAGCCAGCGACCATCCGGATGGTACTCACTTTGGCACTGTCTCGCTCCTGGCCAATTCACCAGCTTGATGTGAAGAATGCATTTCTCCATGGCACTTTGACTGAGACAGTCTACTGCGCACAGCCAACTGGGTTTGTCGACTCTTCCAAGCCTAATTATGTCTGTTGCCTGAACAAGTCACTCTATGGGTTGAAGCAAGCTCCTCGCGCCTGGCATAGTCGCTTCGCCTCTCACATTACCTCACTCGGGTTTGTCGAGGCCAAGTCTGACACGTCGTTGTTCATCTACTATAAAGGTGCTGACATGGCTTTTCTTTTACTCTATGTTGATGATATTGTTCTCACTGCGTCGTCTCCGAGTCTCCTCCATCGGATTATCGCAGCACTTCGCCAGGAATTCTCCATGACAGACATGGGGCCTCTTCACCATTTTTTGGGTGTCAGTGTTCAGCGCAGAGGTGACAGTTTATTTCTCTCTAAGAGACAGTACATGCTGGACATTCTGGACCGCGCCGGTATGAGTCACTGCAAGCCGAGCAGCACTCCTGTGGACACTCACTCCAAGCTTTCTGCTGATGGTGTTTCGGTCGCTGATCCGAGTCGGTATCACAGTCTTGCCGGGGCTCTTCAGTACCTCACCTTCACCAGACCAGACATTGCATATGCTGTTCAGCAGGTCTGCCTGTACATGCATGACCCACGGGAACCTCATTTGAGCGCTCTGAAGCGCATTCTCCAGTACCTTCAAGGTACATTGGATCTCGGTCTACACCTCCACCGGACCTCTCCAGCTGATCTCACTATATACACCAATGCAGATTGGGCGGGCTGTCCTGACACACGCAAATCCACCTCGGGTTATGCGGTGTTTCTCGGGGACAATCTCATCTCCTGGTCGTCCAAGCGTCAGCCTACAGTGTCTCGGTCCAGTACAGAGGTGGAGTATCGAGCAGTCGCGAATGGAGTCGCCAAAGCCTGCTGGTTGCGCCAACTTCTGATAGAGCTTCGCTGCCCACTCCGTCGTGCTACAGTGGTCTACTGGCGATAATATCAGCGCCGTTTACCTCTTCACCAACCCGGTTCAAAGATCGGCGAACCAAGCATATTGAGATCGACCTGCACTTCGTTAGAGAACGAGTCGCCCTCGGTGAAGTCCGCGTCCTGCGTTCCCCCACTTCGGTCCCAATGACGCCATCTTCACCAAGGGTTTTCACGTCAAGTGTTTGGAGTTTAGGTCGTCTCAATGTTCACTTCTAGTTTAGGTCCGAGAAGTCAATGGAATTCATGGTGCTCCAAGTTTAGACTCCAGGGAGTGTTGGAATGTAATATGCTAATCGTATAGTAATTATTGAGTATAGCCCCTCCAATGCAGCCATATATATATATATATATATATATATATATATATGTAAATGCTAATCCAGTGTAGTAATTATTGAGTATTCCCTAATTCTACTCTTTCAGTAACTTATCCCGAAGCCAATGAGCCATAGACTTGACTCGTGTACAGCCAGGTCGTCCAGCGCTTCATTACTCTCGGATGAATCGTGTCGGCACTATCTTAGCTAGTCTTTCACCTGTCTCAGCTCGGATGGGACCTGCGTGTGCAGACCGCAGAGTGCAGCGAAGCATCAGCAGGAGCAAGCCGCCTCTGAGATGGAGGCTTGACGCCCCAAGAGCCATGCCGCATGCCAGTAGCCCTGCTGACTGACTTCCTTCCACCTTCCAAAGTCTCAAACAACTCGTGGCATCTGATCTACCCCCGCGGCGCGTCGTGTGATCGTGTCCCCTGCCTGGCCGGCTGACTTCATAGCCTCGTCTCCCCTTCTTGCCGACGCCAGTCACCAGCCATGAAGGCCGCCTTGACCTCGCTCGGCGGGCCTGGCCTCCACCCTGCCGCCTCAGCCGCCGCCCCCTGGCCTCGGTGCTCGCGCCGCTGCTCCTTTTCATGGCCGCGGAGCTCGCCTTCAATTCCTCGCAATTCCTCGCGCTGGCGCCCCATAGCGACGGCGTTTCTTCGTCATCGTCATCGTCCTCGTCACCGCCTCCGCCACCGTCGCGACGCGACGAGCAGCGGGTGGCGGTCTGCCTGGTGGGTGGCGCCCGGCGGTTCGAGCTGACGGGCCCGTCCATCGCGCTCCACGTCCTGGCGCCGCTCCTCGCCGCGGGCGCCACCGACGTGTTCCTGCACAGCCCGCTCGATGCCGACGCCTACGGGCTCTCCGTCCTGGTCCGCGCCGCGTCGCCCGGGGTCACGCTGGCCGCCGTGCGCGTGTTCCGGCCGGACCACATCGCCGTGACGCCGGCGCGGGCGCGCGCGCTCACCGCGCAGCACTCGCCTAAGGGCATCCAGGTCAGCTAGCTGGTTCCTTGCCTTCCTGGCGTGCCGCGCACCGCGCTCGCGCACATGTGAAAACCACTGCGATTTGACTATTAAAAATTCTCGGTTCTGGATGCATGATGCATGATGCATTTTCCAAATCCAAACATGGACTGCGCATACAAAGGCTTATTCGTTGGTTGGTGCTGATGCTGGTTCTTTTAAAGAAAAATACTTTTGACTGATTGATTTGGACTGGCTGAAACCAATAAAAGAACAAACAAGAACAGACCGAAAGTTAGAGAAGCGCGTCTACACGTGGTGCATGTCATATTGAGTGCTAGTTTAGTGTTATGCATTTCTGGCTATTATGCCAAATATTTTTTTAGGTTTGTGTTTAGTTGGATGAAATTTGACAATTTGGCTATGGTAGAACTTTTATTTTTATTTGGTAATTAATGTTCAATCATAAACTAATTAGGGTCATGTTTAGTTGCACCTTAAAATGTCAAATTTTTGGACGCATGTATGAAGCATTAAATATAAATAAAAAATAAAACTAATTATACAGATTAGACGAAATCCACGAGACGAATCTTTTAAGTCTAATTAGACTATGATTGGACACTAATTGCCAAATAACAATGAAAACGCTACAGTAGCGTTTTGCCCAAAAAAATTGACATCCAAACTAACCCTTGGCTTAAAACGTTTGTCTCAAAACGTTTGTTTTTTTTCGCGATTTTAATACTCCATACAATATAGCAAGATTCGATGTAATTTTTTTTTTTTTTTTAGGAATTTGGTTTTGGAACTAAGGTCGTGTTATGGTTCATACACAGCGTAGCTAGATTCGATATAATAATTAAGCATTTTTCTCTCAGCACTTTTTGAGAATTTGATTTTGGAACTAAACGTGACCTTACTTAACGTACATTTTTTTTTTTTGACACGCAGGGTCTGCTGCAGTACTTCCATCTGGTGGAGGGATGCCTGGACTTATCCGGGAGCGCGAGTCCCGAGGCAACTTCACCTACGCCTGGGTGCTCCGGACGCGCGTCGACGGCTTCTGGTCGGCGCCGCTTGACCCCGAGGACGCCTTTCACCCCACCGCCTACGTCGTGCCCGAGGGCTCCCGGTTCGGCGGCCTCAACGACCGCCTGGGCGCCGGCGGCCGCGTGGCCTCGGAGGCCGCGCTGGCACGCCTGTCGGCGCTGCCGCGCCTCGCCGAGGCCGGGTACCGGGACCTCAACTCCGAGTCGGCCTTCCGCGCGCAGCTCCGCGCGGCGGGCGTGCCGGCGCGGGAGCACCGGTTCCCGTTTGCGTGCTGAGCGACCGGACCTACTCGTTCCCGCCGTGGACCAGGTCCGAGGTGCCCGTGGCGTCGCTGGGGAGCCGGGGCCCGCTGAGCGGGGCCAAGTGCCAGCCCTGCCGCCCCGCCTGCCGCGGGTGCGTGGTGCGGCACGTCGCGCGCCTGCACCGCGGGTGGAGCTGGACCGAGTGGCGGAACGGCACGCTGGAGCTCTGCGACGCCAGCGGGCCCTGGGAGCGCGGGTGGGAGGCGCTGTTTAACGAGGTCGCCGGCGCCGAGGCCGCGGCGGTGCGGCGCGGATGGGCGCGGAGGAGTGCCTAGAGGAGGTCGAGGCTCTCAAGGCGCGCGCGGAGTCGTGGGACGCACCGAGCCCAGCCGATCTGCCGCCTCCAGTTCGGACTCCGGACTCCGATCGCTGGCGCTGAGTCGACCCGAGTCTTCGTCGACGGACAGTGACGCTACTAGCGCTATAACTGACCAAGTGACCAGCCTTTCCTTGAGACACCCTGACGGTGGTTATCTTTTCCAGAGATAGTTACACATGCTTGACATCTTTTGTACATTCTTTTTGTAGTTCAAGTTCATATCGAATTGTCGATCACGAATACTAGTATTACAGCCCCAAGCTCGAAGCTGGTGAAAAGCACACTCCAATTATTCTGCAATTCAGATTCTGCTTACTAATTAGCTGCTGAAGAAACCAGATGTTTGGGTATCGATACACCTTACGCAACAACATGAATAACTTATCACTTGATGACATGAATAACCTATCACCTCATGATAATAATGATGCCTACAAAACATAAGCTCATACGTATATCTTGAGAAACGAAACTTCAGTGGCCATAAATTTTCCAGACGAGCTCAAGGGCACCTAGCAAAGATACACACCATGCAGTTGACAGGTTACGAAAAATGTACATCCATAATGGGGCAAATCTCCTTACACTGACATTTTATAGTTTTACTTATTATTACAGAAGACTGCCAGCATGACAAAGATGTTATTCCAACTGCACCTACAGTTGTGTTGCAAGGTAACCCAGACGATGAAACAGTCACAGAAATGGGAAATGTTGTTTCTCATAAGATGCAGCAAATCACTCTCAAACACCAAACATCAGGCTGAACTTGGTGGCGAGAGGGACGGATATTATGGCAACTCCCAATGCGACACCAAAGATACGGTGCGAGATAGAGAAAGTAGCGCTGAACTGTGGCTTCTTCAGAGGAAGATGGGGCGACAGCGGGCGGTTTGCTACAGGAGACGATAGGGGGCGGCTCGTGTGCAGGAGTCGATTTCCAGGAGTAGACATCTTTGGTCGCACAGCTGCTAGAGGGGAAGATGTGTAGCCCCTGGCTTGCTCAAGATATGAGCTTGAACTACCAAGAGCACCTGAAAGATGGATGTGACACATTTATAAGGGCCCCAAATTTATAATAGGCAAAAGTATATGTAATGAACTGCAAACATTGGCTGTGTTCGGCTGCAGCTGCAGAGCAGCACCAACAAAAAACGAAACAGCAGTAGCCGTCGGAAGTAGCACTTCCTAAATCCTAACACATCCATTATACTCCAGAAGTACCTTAAAACAACTCCCTAATTCGTTTTTTTTTTTGGCAAAATAGGCCCTCCAACACTTCTGTAAAACAACTCCCTATAAGCACTTGGTAAATCTCCCCTCCAACTCGCAAATATATGTCTCAATCCTGCGCCCACCCAGGCAGCCCCTCCCCAGCAGTAACCCCCCTCCCCCCAGTTTCCGAGATTTACGAAGGTAACTATTGAAGGAAGACAAAAAAAGAGCTCCTTATTCATTTTGTTCACTTAGCATAATCCATCGTTTACCAAGTGACTTTTAAGGAGCTCTTGGAGATGCTCTAACCAGAAAAAGAGAGAGAGAGAGAGGGAGAAAATATGGCGGGACATCTAAGCGCATTTCACCAAAGCGTACATAAAGAAACGTGACTATAGTCCATTCAGATATGTATATCAAACTATGCATCTAAAATCAAAATAAAAATAACATATGTAACTGAACTGATTAATGCTACGAGGCATGCATGAAACTTTTGCCTCCAGGTAAGGAAGAGCAACTTCTGACTACATGTTGTAAAATAATCGTAGAGATATGGCCACTACTGGCACCCCTTTGCGCTAATGATATGATGGACCAAAACACAAATAGTGAGTGATATACTGCTACACGTCTCAACATAAGCCCCTAAGCTTCCAGAATGAAATGTTAGTGTCATTTCCAGCCTCACATTACAGCATATCCTGAACAACATAACATAGTTGGGGTGATTACAGTGTGCTACAACTATCTCCTAATGGGTCTCAGTGTAATATTGATTGTTGTCTCAAAACTACATGACAGAAAACATATAACAAACCAGAGCAGGAGTCCTTACCACGGAGGGGAAATGGAGACTCTCTCAAGGGTGCAAATTGAGTGTTGCTGTTATACTTCTCCATTGCTGTGCAGCCTGCACAATAACCAATAATCATGGATTAGCATCAGCACAGAATCACGGTTTTAGTAAAAGAAAATTTGAATACAAATTTTGCCAAGCAAAACATAGAAAGATTAACTGATATCAATTAAATTGGAGAATACCAAAATCAATTGATCCTAATGAACTTGGTGGTTTAGAACAAACCCAAGTAACGCATTTCAGCAATTCCTAGACCCTAGTCAATCTCAATGCTAACCACTGTGGCTATGTACACAGAGCTAAACAGGATACATCTGATAGAATAGAGAACATAAATTTGAGCATTGTAACATATTGAAATTTCTAGGCACTTTACTCATGTTTAGAGAGAGCCTGGCCTAAAATCCATATAGACATGCATTCTGAGTAAGCATAAGCATGAGTTGTCAAAGTCACACTATTGTAGGTAACTTACATTTCCGACCAATAATCAACATCACTAATGAAGCAAACTACATAGGTCTATCCTACTATGTCCTGTGGACTTAACTGCATGAAGAGGAGAAACATGCAAAACTCGAGTTGTGGACTAATCATCAACGTCCCTGTGGGATGTTTTTAGTATTTAACTCTTTCGTTCCAACCAAAAGAGCAATATTTGTGAATAATTCAGTGTCGGAAGCATTCATATACAAAACTTTCATAACTTGCATGCCTGCCAAAGCGATGTAATGTTGCTTCTATTGTCACTTGTCAGTAAGGTAGCACTACCTTGCTTCACTGGAAAGCTTGGTTTGTTCTGCAGAAGTTCTTCTTTGCTGTGAGACCTCTAGTGCCAGGTTCCTTCCTGGGATCAAAGTGGATGAAAAGTCGGATCCACCTAGTGTTGCTCTGGATCTTGCTGTGATTTTTTTTTCCTATTGATTTTTTTATTTTTTTGTTCAGTTCAAATGAATCCCTCCCCCCCAACAATAGTAAGTGTTATAACCTGACACTACTTATGTATTTGAATTGAAATTTGAAATTACATTGCATGTTCCTATGAATAGTTGATTTTGTGTAAACAACTAATGATATTGTGGTTTATCAGTGTTTCAATAATTTTATATCCAAAAGTTCACTTCTGTAAATGTAGTTACAAGTCACATCCTTCAGTTTTATTTGTATTATAATAAAATCACAGGTAACTCTAACGTTGTATGTTTATCCTCTTCATGCATTTGAGTCAACAGAAGAGCGGGCCTGGTGCAAGTGGTAGAGTCTTACCGCCTGTGACCGGAAGGTCCCGGGTGAGTCGCGGTCTCCTCGCATTCCACAGGCGAGGGTAAGGCTTGCCACTAATACCCTTCCCCAGACCCCGCAGAGCGCAGAGCTCTCTGCACTGGGTACGTCCTTTTTTTTATGCATTTGAGTCAACAGGCCTTAGTAGGATTATAGTTTGTTCCATTGGCCCCGTTCACGTGCAACATCCGCTTCTTTTTCATCCGAGTAGGATTCTCTCACATAGTTCCCAAAACCATCCAAATTCCTCCAAGCGAACAGGCCCATTAGTGGTTCACGATTTGTGGGAAATGCAAGTTAGCAACAATAGTTTGACTGTATGACACCTCATGCCTAAGGTTTGCCATCATAATTTTGTTTCTTTTAGCTAAGGAACCATAGGTGCCAGGTGGTGTTCGTCCTGCACGCCTATACACAAACAATGTTTATGCATACATTGAGGTAACAACTCCAGCAGCCTGATCAATAATTTTAAGCCGCTTGATAGCGAAACCATCCATTTATACAATGATAAATTGCAATTAGAAATGGACATATACTTATCCAATTCACGTACGAAATGAAAAACAGCTTCAAAACTCATCTGTGTTCTGTATAGTGGCATAGGTTAAGTTAACATTGGAAAAAATTCAGAGAAGCTCAAAGTTAGAGCAGGACATGCGATTCCCCATACTGAAAAGGCATCAAGACAATACACCTTGCACTTGTGACAAACCAATGCAACTAAGTGCTTGAATGAAGAGAGAACCAACCTAATAATGACATATAGAAAACTAACTTTTATGATATCAACAAGTAAAAATTGGTCTGTTCCAATGCTAAAAAGAAGAACCTATGCAACGAGCGCCTGGTATGTGAGAGGAATCGAGCTGGGTTTACCTTGCTGCTCCGGGGAGAGGCCTCCTTGCTGGCTATACAGAAGATCTGCAGGAAGAGGAAGAAGAGGTCAGGATGGAGAGGATCTGGGCGGCGGAGGGCCAAACCTATCTCCATGCGCAGGGGGGAAAATATGGAGGAGTATGTGCGCGCCCAGTCGTGAGGGGAGGGAACAAGTCGGCGGTGATCCGGACGCACGATCCGCGAAACATATCCGTGCATGTGCCCCAGTCCCCACGATCCGGCGCGCGCGCCCAAAATCCATGGTAATCCGGCCGGGAGAGGAGGCGCATCGCGTAGACTCACCAGAACAAAGGGAGCTCGGGACCGATTTTCCGCCGGAGGAGACGGAGAAGACGGCGTCAGGAGGCGGCGGGCGGCGGTGTGGTGAGAGGTTTTTTTTTTTTTTTGAGAAACAGCGGTGTGGACGTGTGGTGACTGGTGAGAGGTGGAACGAGGGAACGTGCTCGTGCCTCTGCTGCCAGTAGGCCCTCTTTTTGCCGGCCCGGCCCGGTTGGCACCGTGCCTCGGCTGACACGGCCTGACCCGGTCGGCATCATGGGCTTACGTGGCCCATTAAACTGTGTCATCTTTGGGCGAAGGAAGCGTGGCACGAACACTATGCGCTCCCCGCCCTATGCGCGCTCCAAAGGCCATATTGGGCCTGTTTGTTTACTTGGCGAGGCGTCGGTCAGGCCACCGGTCTTCACCCACGCGTGTTTATTTACCTGAAACCTATCGGACCAAGCTGTGTGGTCGTCTCAAAAAAGAAAAAAAAAACTGGTATGTTTGGTAAAGCGCCTATAAAAAGATAGGTTGTCTCTTCTCAACCTGATTTGCATAGATCCCCTTCTTTATAAATTTTAGAGCATTTGAGCTCACTTTTGAGTTCTAAAGCTCTAATATGACGTGGGCTAAAGTTTAGAGTTAATTTTAGATTAACTGTTTGAAGATTTAGCTTTAAAGTTTGGAGGAGAGGATCAAAACATGCCCTGATGGTCTGTTTGGTTCATCTCCTCTAAAGTTTAAAGCTTTAAAATTTTTAGAGCACTTTAGCTCACTTTTAAGGTTTAAAGCTCTAATGTGAGATGGAGTAAAATTTAGAGCTAATTTTAGACCGTCTGTTTGGAGCTTTAACTTTAAAATTTAGAGCTCTAAAGTTTAGAGATGTGAACCCAAACAGGCTCTAAGTCTCGTGAGGGAATTGATATGAGGGTGCTTTGGCCTTGAGTGCATGACCGTGTAGACAAGCAAACATCTCGTCCAGGCCCGTTTGCTGCAAAAGAGCGATGGTTTGGTTGCACTTGCCCCATGTGATCTCTGTGTGTCTTGGGCCTGTGCACACGATACAATCACCTTGGGCTAGGTAAACAAACACTTCCATAGAGTGTATTTGGTTTATTCACGCTATCTCGACCAATTTAGCCTGCTTTGTCTAGTTTTAGCTACATTATTGAAGCTTGGCCACCAAATTGAGTGGTGTCGGTGTTTTCGGACCACCGACGAGTAAATTTGTATTTGCGCGTCTGACTCGGATGGTGTGCTCAGAGGACACAAGGGTTTATACCAGTTCGGGCGGAACGTCCCTACGTCTAGTTCACTGTTGCTCGTGTTACCGACACTTGGTTTGCGGTAGGGGTTACAAACATGCGAGAGAGGGAGGGGATCTCAAGTCTCTGATGGAAGAAGTGAACGGGTGTTGAGAGCTCGCTTGCCGCTCAGCCGTATGCTCGTGTTGTGCTCTTGTGTTCTGATTTTGTGCGGATCTCCATCCCCTTCATGGGGCGCCCTGCTTTCTCTTTTATAGGCGAAGGAAAAGCGCGGGTTACAGTGGAGGATGAGGAGAAGAACGAGAGAGAGAGAGGGAAGAAGGCTTCCAGGGTCGCCGGGTCCTTCTTCTCCTTCATGCGGGTCCCATCGATCCTATAGATATTAAAAGGGATGGCTCCATGTCGCGGCCCTGTTCGTCACTAGCGCCATGCGCAGGGTCATCTGTCGGTCATGGCGTTCCACTCCGTCCTGGCGGACATCGTGGTGAACTGACGCACGTATCAGCGTTCGTACGAGGGTTAGGCAGAACAGCACCGACACGCCCGACACTGTTCTTGATGTGAATACCTAGGTATGGCCCATCATGGCCACGGGTTATATCGAGGCATGCCAGTCTCTTTCCTAATGTCAAAATTTTGACCTAGGCCCATACGCTTGGACCTGGAGTGGTTGGCGGCGGTATGGGTTCTCGTCAGACGAGACAAAAACCATGTCCTTGGGTTGAGCGAGACAGAGCCCGCACCTAAGGAGTTGAGCGAGACGGAGCCCATGGCCTTGGGCGAGACAGAAACTGCGGCCTTAGGGTCAGGCAAGACGGAGCCCGCACTCAAGGGGTCGGGCGAGACGGAGCCCGCGGCCTTGGGGTCCGGCAAGACAGAGCCCGCACCCAAGGGGTCGGGCGAGACGGAGTCCGTGGCCTTGGGGTTGGCCGAGAAGGAGCCCGCAACCAAGGGGTCGGTCGAGACGGAGCCCATGGCCTTGGGGTCGGCGAGACCTTTTAATACGTCTTGCTCCATCCAAGGAAGTTAGCGTGGGCACTAACTTCCTTGCTTTGGGTATCCCTAATATCGATACCCGACAGTAGCCTCCGAGCCTGCGGAGGAGTAGAATACTCCTTTGGAGGCTTTTCCGGATGGGAGGACTCTGAGGGCCTTGGCCTTCTTTTTGTAGCCCGCGACGTGTTCTGGTAGGACGACGGTTCCCTTTTGTCGCAATCGGTCTTCTTGGGAGCATGTAACCGTAGGATTTGGGAGGTCGGAAAGATTTTTTTACTCTAGTCCCCTAGGATCCGATCGATCCGCTGTCGTACTGCGACCGCGTGTTCGATCTCCTTACGAGTCCAACTTTCATTGAGCCCCCACGCATAGCAGGGGTCTGGTCGAGGGTTGGCTCGTCTTTGTGATAGTCGTCCCTCAAGCATTTTTTCGATAAAACGGAGGGGCTGAGTCGTGCCACGTTTTCCCTCGATGGATGAAACCTGGTGCTCGGTGAGCTGTTAATGGGCTAGTCCGAGCGGGGCCCCGGCTTCCCGTTCACGGGGGTCCAGCATGGGTCAGCTGGTGACCGACTCTAGACTCTTGGCGGCCAGTCTATATAGTTCTTGGGTCCGTTCAACCGGTCCCAAGGGCTCTGTCGGTGCAAAAACGTGTCGATGCGCCTGGCACACAACAAGCCGGAAGGATCTACTTGATGGAGCAAGGCTGGAGATCCGCTTGGCCTCAACACAGGGCTAGCCGATCCTGCAAATTCCCAAAGGCGTGCCAGTCAATTTGACCTATAATTGACAAAGAGAGAAAGTTTATCAGTAATTCAAGGTGAAACATGCTGGTTTTTACCCAGATAATTCCAAGTGTGCCACTTCAGGAGCAGCCAGATGGGAAAATCGACTAAACAGCCGATACGCAAAAAAAATCGACTATTAAGGACTATAAAGCTCATGGATTGTGATTGATTTTATGATGACAAGTACAATACACGTAGATGTAAGTAAAATCATCAGCTAGGTGGATATTACCAATGTAAAGCTTTGAGCCAATGAATCTAATGAGAAAGGATATAACATGCGAATAAATCAACTTTCTAGCCTAAATGGATCTACAAACGCTCTGAATCTAATCTGTTACCATTAATAGTGAGGTTCTATCGGATTGATGGCAGCTATGATGATAATAACAAACTAAAACCAAAGAATCCATAAAACCGTCTATACATTGATAGGTTTTCCGAAAGACATGTTACATATGTGAAAGCACAGGCGAATCGGCTAAAAAGCCGATTTAGGTAGAAAAAGGATCATAGCATGTGAACAATCAACTATTCGATACGAGCAGACCTATAAACTCCTTAAATCTAACCTATCATCTTTAATAGTGGAGTTCGACTGGATCGATGGCAGCCATAATAAAGATAACAGATTAAACCTTTAAAGAAAATAGATCTAGTCATATTTAATAGGATCATGAAAACATACTATGAGCGTCAAAGCTGCAGGCGATCGGCTATTTAGCCGATGCAGGCATAGCAAACAGCCAAGGTCACGCTTGGTCGAAAGCAAGTCTACCAACTAGCATCCTCCGATCTAGAGTTCCATCAGTGAGGATTGACCAGATAGTTATAGCCATAATAGCGAGCTATAGACCGGATTTTAACTAGCCAGTAAACCTCCTTAAGATTAGACATGCCTTAACCACGTACTATGCACGATCAAGATCGAAGTAGGACAGCCGATAAAACATAATCCGTTGTTTAAAGTAAGAATTATCACAATGTGGCAAAGTAAACGAGGAACTAAAAGGATGTGAGACCGATCTAGTTCGATCTCGATCGGGCAGGTTGATGTTGTTGAAACTAATGACAATAAAAACATCAGCAAGATCGGTAACTTAATGAATCTACCCGAAGGATGCCACCCTTAGGTAGAGCCGATAACTTGACCTTAATCTAATTCGAGCAGTGGAGGTCGAACTTAACCGATGCAGCCTTACAAATAGAAGTATAAGCCATGATGGTACTTACAGACAAGCCGGAGGTCGGCCGGACCGATGCAGCCCTGCTTATTGAAAAACTCACCGAGATCTACACTACTCCTACTCCTAAGGGTTGGCGTAAAGCCAAAAAAAGTAATTGGTATTGATTGATTGGATGTCTCTTTTATAATTGTCGGGGTCCAATATTTATACCCGGAACCTAAGCATGAATCCTACTCAAGTACGACTTATTATAACCTTTGGTATAAAACATTCCTAACTTGAGATAACTTGGACCCTAATCTTTCTTTTTGTAGAGTCCAACATGTCTTTCCCGACGCCAACCGTAGCTCATTGTCATTATTTGCTGATGTCATTCGAAGAGAGCCGATTCTAGTGCCGCATCTGAATCAGCTCATGTTGATCCTTATGCAATCGATTTCTTGATGACACAATCTTGGAAGCTTCAAGTTCCCGCATTCTTCTTCCCAAATTTTGGTGTAAACACATGCCCCCCAATTTTGGGATAAAAATGATTTTATTCAAAAATTCCTATTTACCTGTTCACCATGTCACAATTGTTTATTCCGAGATATTCTCGGTCCAAATTTTATATAATACCCCAACAATATCATTTTCGATTCATTCGGCCCATCTACTTTTCCCTTCTTCTTCGAGCGAGCCTCAACAACCAAAGCCACCATCGCCAAGGCCTCAACCCTAGCAAATCCTCTGCTTCATCAAGCTGTTATTCAAGCAATCTTTCCCAGATTTAGATCTATTTTGGCTGCAATGGCGACCAGTGACCATGTCCCTGAGGTATGCTTCCAAGTTCCCGCTTTCCAAGTACCAGCCGCTACACTGCATTTCCTTTCTTCTCAAATTTATTTCACCTGATTTCTAGGAAATGAGGAACAAAATCTTGATTCCATCGGCTATTACTCCCAATGTCTATTTTCTTGGGCCTATGGGTGACCCTGATCCATCTGACTTTATCCATCAAGAAACCAACCGAATCCCCTTCAAACAATTTGTAGTAGATTTGTCCTCCTAAAATACCAAAACTCTCTTTA